AATTATCAATCATTCTGGGGATATGCTTATGTAAGGCTGTCTTTCAGGGACATATCTGTGGTAAGCTACGATTTCAGACAGTCATTCACCTCAGCTCACCTTTCTTCACCTCAGTTTTTTTTTAAATGCCTGAGGGTCGTAAGAGTGTTTCTTCTCATACGAAGTGTATGAGAAGAAAAGAAAGGCCTCACAAGAAGCAGATATATCCCACAAGGCTTTGCACGGGGAGCTATACTGACAAAGCAATATGGGATTTGCTGTCACAGAGGCCCACTGTTGCCAGAGGCCGCTGCTACCCCTGGCTGCTAATAACAAAGAAGTCGCAGGCACCGCACAGTGGACCAACGGGGAACTGATCATCTGTCTGAACGGTAAGTTGACTGAGTTCACTATAAAGTCCCCGCTCTATATAGTTATTTAGGGTGGACAATCGAGCACAGTAAGTATGAGCTATGAGGACAGCAACTTTTAAACAGAGTGTGCACGAGGACAAATGGGCTCGTGCATGCTCACGCATGCACATTTTTTTTTAAAGTGGAGAGGGTGGGTCTTTTAAAAAATTTGAGAAAATACTCAACAATACCTTTAACTTCTGAACCTTTAGGGACCCTGGTGTCCCCGAACTCATTGACTCGAAGGCAATCGCTCACACCAAGCGTGCTTGTAACAAATTGGAGAGGAAATTCAACTTTTATGGCCCATTTCTGTGGAAGGGTCATCTAAAGTTCTTGATGGCTGCAGAGAGTATTGAGGTTTCTAAGAACATGTTAAAAAAGCAACACATTATGGGGTCATTCCTGTGAATTCTTCAAGCACTTTGAGGTGCTTATAGTATAAAGAGTGGTTTTAAATATATTGGAAATAAACTGAATTGACTCCTGAATTTGTTCACTGAGTAAGAACCCCTGCAGGTTCTACAGCATCTTTCTCCAACACTCTTTGCAGAAAACGACTGCTGACTGTTAACTTGGCATATTGATACGTGAAGTTCAACCTGAATTCTACACAGTATTCATCTGGAAAGGCTCCTGTGGAAAGTGTTTGCAGAGGGGAGGGACATTTAGTCCAATTGTTCAAGCTGACTTGGTAAACCACCAAACCCGAAATGCCACATCTTTCTTGATCTTGGCACTAATGACTGGATTATTAGTTCATTCCTTCCATCTGCTTGGCTCTGCCAAGTTTTCATCTGCCCCCATCTGATTCACCTGTTCTAGCTTCTATTTATGCTGCATGTTTTCAGCTATCAGTGCCAGACTATTCGAACGGAGTGGAAGAGTTTTCTAGCGTACCCTATAATGCTTTGACTAGCTGATCCTGACCTTGTCGACCTCTGGATTCCTGAGTTTTGGCTTGCCCTCGCTGGTCTGTTCTGGCCTGTTTGTTGTGTTTTCGGACTACTGTTTCGACTCTGCCTGTTTACAACCTTGTATCTGTCCCCTGACAGATACAAGGTTGGATTTTCCCTTGGTACCTCTGATTTTCTAGTCTGGACATCTGCTTCGTCACCTGCTCTGGATTCTGGCCCTGGACTCTTCTGCTCTTCTGCGTCTGCTGGCATCCGCTTATCAGTCTGCTCTGCCTGAATCCTGGAACTCTCTGGATGGCTTCCACCGCAAGCTGTGGAGAGGTAATCTGACTAGTTGTCATTCCTTCCTCTGGACACGGACATGACTAAGAACCAGGTTAGTTACTCACATGTTTGTTATTGTTCCCCATTTGACTCTATAGGTCACTAACCTGAGTACCTACCTCTACAGAGAATAAGGCAAGCTGGTCCCAGCTGACAAGCCACAAAATCCAGAGCAGTCAATAAAGCATTTCACTTTTAATCAAACCTGTTCTGTCTGCCTGAATTCTGGGTCCTATTGTCTGAGCCCTAACAGCATCCTTTGCTCCTCTGTCCCACTGTGCGCCACCCTGCTCGGCTCCTCTACGCCCCGCCCAACTTCTCTCCACCCCACCCACCAGAGAATTTGCCTATTATTTGTTATTTTATAGCACAATAGGAGGTAAAGAATGCTCAGTTCAATGTGGCATAAGTAAAACTCACCATCAGCATCCAGCATACGTGCAGTTTCTGCCCAAACCTTTTCTTTTCGTTGCCCAGGATCATAAAAAAATGTGTTTGTCTTCTACTTCCTAAATCAGCATTTCTTTGTCCATGTCTGCAATAAGAAGTTGCTCTTGGATTGTGAGATGTTCTCTCACAAGTTCTTGCGACTGGATTTGATGAAACATTCAAGCCTTTCGGTATAAGATAAATATATTTTGATCGTGATGACAAATTGGCTTTCCTGTATGTTCAAGTAGTCGTTTGCATCCAATAATTAATTAAACAGTCTTGTTTTTGTGAATATATACTTATGCTATAATTTGTAGTTACCAATCAGTTTTTACCCTATTTTACTTTGACACAACAGATCCAACGGACTGGATCGCAGCAAAAAAATAGCGTTGCTACATATTTTGACAGAGAAGGATGGAGAACACATACGTTCGGAGGAGTCACGGTGGATGTGGAATCGTTCTCATTGATTAATATGACTATGAAAGGCAGAACAGAGCGGTTATGGAGAATGTGGAATCTGGGGGGGATGAGTGCTGTTTAATATTCCAAACATTTTCTTTGATGCAATGCTCTAAAGCAGGGGTGTCAAACTGGTTCCAGAAAGGGTCGTGTGGCTGCAGGTTTTCTTTCCAACCCAGCAACCGCACACCAGACTCCAGTCATCTTATCAACTAAGTGCAAACTGAACATGATGACTTGATGAGATGAATGGAGTTGCTTGGTTGGAAAGAAAACTTACAGCCACACGGCCATTTCTGGAACCAGTTTGCTCTAAAGTTTTTATCATTTTAAACTATAAAAAAAACAAAAACATTTCAAGTGTAGTTCAGTGTTTCAGTTTGTTTCTGCAAATGTTGTTACCTCATCAATTAAAGATGCTGCAAATTTGCTTTGTGTTTCCTGCAGTTGGAAAAACAAAAACTATCACAACCAGAAAGTTGTTCTAATTTTATTTCAGAACCCAGTACTTGTTGGAAAAGTCTTAGGTTTAAAAACCAATATACCAAATAAATAAATACTAGTCTTTGGGACAACCAAATTATGTAAATAAATGGAGCATACAGATCCAGTTGCAATTACTCTCAAAACCTCAAAAAAATTGTGTTTTACAGATCAGGGTTTCCTTCCATGTACTTTTTATTGTTAAGGTATCAAGGTAAAAAATATTAATAAAAGTTCTCTGTTGACCTTTCCTAGTCCTAAGAGGACTGTTTAAATGGTTGCTCTTATCACTTCCTGCTTCAGTGCTCTAACATAAAGTAAGTGCTGCTCCAGGTACCTCACAGATCAAAACTAAGACAAACCAATTACGCCTCCAATCCGAGTGAATTTAAGATGGTATGAAGTTATAGCAATTACATCTGGCTGATAGGAGCAGGGCCAGCCGACTGTTTGTGATTCTTTGCAGCTGTGTGTGGGATCAACTTAGAGCCCTTGTTCCTTTGGAACTATGGAACAAATTTGACTTGAAAGTAATGATCCAGAAAGAAAGAGACGCTGTGGCAAAGTAAAACACAGCTCTGCTGGGAAAAATAAAATCTCTGAATCATAAGGCAAACTGGCTATGTTTGTCCTTATAGAGGTTTGTCAGGAAATAGAGCACAACCTTTACTGTGGACCTATAAAATAGATAATTTTTAAGCTTGTTTGAACATCAACTGCTGCTTTATGTTTAATGTCTGACTCTTTTATGCTGGGAAATGTCCATTACATGTAAGTAACTCTGAAGTCCAATGATCCATAGCAGGACCCTCTATGCAGCCAGTATGACTGAAAAATAGGAAAATGGACCAGAGCATGATCCATCGGATCAGATGCAAGCAGTTTGTATATATATATATATATATATATATATATATATATATATATATATATATATATATATATATATATATATATATATCAATAAATATATATGTATATACTTTTACTGTAGGTTCAGATGCTTGCATGTTTATATTCTCTCTATTGGGCATTACTGTTTTGCTAATCATTTCTATTGACCTCAAAATGTTGACTTCCAACAGACAAACAATCTTCCCCCTTGATGTACTACAGCAAGTCCTTTAGGGAGAAAGTTCAGTTCATGCAGCTGAAATAACCTCCTGAAACAGACCTAATGGTGAAGGTAACCCAGATATTCAGATCCCTCTAAATGAGTGGTACCTTCACACAGCTACAGGTCAGCTGATGTCCACCCAAACCTTTCCATCCTCTAGTTTCAGATCCCATTGCAGCATTTTATTCAAGGCTGTGTCCGAACATCCGTCCTAACCCCTCCATAGAGCACTACATAGGGGTTACACCATTTCATATGATTTTCTAGTGTCTAATGAATGAAAAAGTTGTGGACTCAGATATGAATCCCAGAATGCTTTGTAAAGAGAGCAAAGATTTGTTTTTGGGGCGAGAGAGAACAATGATGGCACATTGCAGGGAGCTGGAGTCTCATTACCCCTGGGGAGCAAAAAGTATTGATCATCAGTCTGAACGGTCAGTTAATTGAGTTCATTATAAAGTCCACTATGTAGTCCCAGCTCTATATAATGATGGAGGTGATAGAGTTAGGGCGGATGTATGGATACAGCCATGTTTCGAGCCTTGGTCTTCAACCTGGATAAACCCAAGCTGCTTGGCATCCATAACATCTGTGAACTAAATCCTTTCTATATGAAGCAAAATTAACTTTGACCCATCTTAATGTGGAAAGACTGAATTTCCCAGACTAGAGTGACTGAGAAGTTGCACCGGCATGGTTATTATTATCTTTACACCAACTTTAAAAGCATTTCATTCTTTATTTTGATATTCAAAAGAAAACCTTCACACAAGTTAAGATGCTATAATATTTTAGAAACTTTCTCAGAATTTACAGAGGCTGCGGGTTCCTCTGTACTGATGTGTTTTCCTGGTTTCACGGATGACTCACCAATGACTAGAGTTGCTCCCTGAAGGAAAGTCCAGTTGGACTCCAGGCACGAGCAAAAAGAGAAAGGAAAAAAAAAGAAGAGTTTGGAGTGGCATGGGGAGGTGTTGGTTCTGGAGTTTGCTGGGTGTGTTTATTGGGGGGAGGAGGGGGATCAACAGTTCCTTCTGTGTTATTGGGAGATGGTGTCATCATTATGAGCAGGGTTCAAGTCCACCACAGTGGTCCCTCTGAGAGAAGCTGCTCCATCTACTGATGAGGATGGCTGACAGTTTTTATTAGTGCCTGGAAAGCATAAGAACAAATTCAGATCCAGATTCCTGGAGAGATTCATTCATCCGATTCCAGCAATAGCAGTTTGCTCACCTTGCCCTGCTGAGGAGGATGGAGGCAGAGCTAGGATGTTTGCTCCACCTCCTCCTCCACCACCATTGGTCTGCGAACAGACGTTGGCTTGGCGCGTTGCAGCCTTCTGCTTGTAGTGGTTACTGTGGAGCTTGTACTTCATGAGGAGGATGAAGATGAAGACGAGCACAGAGGCCACAATGATCCCACCGATGATAATGATCATGGTGCCGCCCAAGAACTGGGGAAAATGTTAGAAGAAAAACCAACAGTTAGACAGAAGGGCAGAGAAACAGCAACATTTGTGTTTCACTTTGGCTCAAATGAGGTCAGACTAAAATAATCTGAACATCTTTACTAAGAAATCTCAACTGGAAAACTTTTTAGGCATGGAGAGCGGTTCTAATAAAGCTAGATTCGATCTCTCCTAAGTCAGCACCACTACATTGAGAGGTTGGTTCTGCCAGAAGCAGCAGCTGTGGCTGAGGCAGAGGACAGGCAGAGAGATTCTGGTGGTCTGCTGAGTGTGGATTTATTGGGACTTTTAATCATCCACAGAGAGAAACAGAAAAAGAAATCAAGTAAACTTAAAGGGGAACACCGTGTTTTTTTTTTTTTTTACATTGGTCCCTTGATTTAACGTTATTATATCATCTTTTACTCACCCATATTAGTTTTGTGTCATTTGGAGCTGTTCAGTTAGGTTCTATCCAAGTAACTTCTTCCTATGGGTAAAGAGTTGAAGGCACAAACTAAACTGTTCATAATTTATTTTTTATGGTACGCCAGCATTCATAAAATGTAGACGAATAACTGTTCCCCAGGCATCCGCGGCTATATTTTTTATATTTATATTTTATATCTTTTAAAACAAAATGGAGTGTGTATGATGTATATTTTCGGAGCAGCTCCAAATGACACAAAACTAATATGGGTGAGTATAACATAATTTAAAATCAAGGGGCCAATGTAAAAAAAAATTTGGTTTTCCCCTTTAACAAATACATTATTTTGTAAAATCTAATTTGAAAAATGTGGCATGAATTTGAATCCAGCCCTCCTGAGTCAGAACTAAAAAAAATCCCTTGTCCTGGCTGCAGGCCAAGCTGACGTTCTGGCGATTTCTTTCTATCAGCTTTTAAAGTCCGTTGGCAATTTTTTTTGTTAAACTTTTTCATCTTACTCCTTTTGCATGGAGAATATTCTAGAACAGGAGAGTCAATCTGGTTCCAGAAAGGGCCATGTGGCTGCTGGTTTTCATTCCAATCAAGCAGGGGAAACACCGGACTCCCTTCATCTCATCAGGTCATGATGTTAAGACTGGACTCACTTGATGGAAGACTGGAGTCTGGTGAACTCTAAGGTCAGTAACCGAACTTCAGCAGTAAGACATACCAAACATTAATTCATATTCCCTATAATCATAGTTTCTGCCTCTGAGACATTATCTGAATCTTCCTGATAATTAAACGTTGATTAAATTAAACAGTCCTGGAGGGCTCTGGTTATTAAATTGGTCGCATTGCATTTTCTTTAAAGGTTTAATGTAGAGGGGGCAGAATTACCTTTGCATAAAAATGTGACTATGATTTAATTTTTTCATATCATTATTATTATTAAAGTCTTTAAAACTCAAATGAGCCACAAAGTCTGTCATAAAAGCTGGAGTAAAATAATGTCCTTAAGGAAAAAGACCTAAAAAACTGCAAGATTTGAAAAACGACTGATGTTATCTAGAGGAAGTTTAGCTTTACTGCAGATCCAGATGAAAAGCAAACTGTTTCAGCTCTTTGTTCAAGGCAAATATGACATTTACAAGTGAAAGATCAAATAGATGGCTCAATAATCAGGGATCTTTGGGACCAGTAAAATAAACTCACTATATGGATGAAAACACCCACCTGATCTCGTATAGAGTGGCAGCGTCCGTACTCTGAGTCTGTGACGAAGGACACACAGCCCACCAGCTTAGTTCCCGTCAGGGTGGTGATGCCATCATCGTAAACAGCCAGAACACACAGCTCATAATCCCGTGACGATGCCAGGTCACTGAGCAAGAAATACTTGTGATTTGCTGGAATCATCCTGAACAAAGAGACCAAAAACAACATTGATACTGTGAACATTTTAGGACTGAGCAAGGATGGAAAACATAAGGGTTTATGTCAAATATTAAAGGATTGCTGGTTCCAGGAGCAAGACAACAGTAAAAGAGGTGAAAAGATCTGTCAAATGTGAAATCCTTTTATTCAATTTAAAAGCCCTTCCACCAGATCTTACCCTCAGATCTCACCCTCAGCCTTGCGGCATCAAATCTGACACTCTGTTATCTGCAGGATGTTACCATACCATACCATACCAGCTTTATTTATGAAGCACTTTATATACCGGACAGGACCAAAGTCCTGTACATAATCATAAAATACAATAAAATTATAAAATAGAAAAAAAACTAGTGTAAAATACATATTAGTATACAAACAGAATGAAACAAGGTAAAACCTCTCAAATTGTGCCGAAAGCCAAGGAAAAAAGATGAGTCTTAAGAAGGGACTTAAAAATAGCAAGAGAAGAGGCCTGTGTTATGCTCAGAGGCAGATCGTTCCATAGCTTAGGAGCTGCCACAGAAAAAGCATGGTCCCCTCTGAGCTTGCATTTAGTCTTTGGGACTCTCAGAAGCAACTGATCAGCTGACCTGAGGGAACGGGAAGGTGTGTAAGAATGTAACAGCTCAGACAGATAAGGAGGGACAAGGCCATTGAGAGCTTTAAGTGGAAAAAGCTGGACTTTATAACGGCTCTGATGTGCGCTTCCATCTTAAGACCAGCATCCATCTTAACCCTTAAATCAGTAATAACCGGCTTAACGTACTGAGCCAAGGAGCCAAGACTAGTCAAGGAATCAGCAGTGGATCTGCCAAAGATCATTACCTCTGTCTTGTCTTCATTGAGTTTCAAAAAATTTAGGGCCACCCAGGCCTTCACATCTTCAAGACATAAAAACAGAGACCAAAGAGACGTGGAGTTTACTTTCTTCAGCGTTAAATATGTCTGTGTGTCATCTGCATAGCAGTGAAAGGCAATCCCATGCTTTCAAAAAATAGAGCCGAGAGGAAGAAGGTAAAGTAAGAAAAGGAGCGGGCCTAGAACTGAGCCCTGTGGGACACCACACGACAGTGGAACAGAGGGGGACCTATGGTCATCAAGACAGACACAAAAAGTACGTTCAGCCAAATATGATCTAAACCAATCTAGAGCTATGTGACCGATGCCCACCCACTGTTCCAGACTGGAAAGTAAAATGACATCATCAACTGTATCAAAAGCAGATGATAAATCCAACAGAACCAAAACAACAACGTCACCTGAATCAGTTGCTAAAAGTATATCATTAAAATTTTTCAAAAGGGCTGACTCTGTGCTATGAAATGGTTTAAAACCGGAATGAAAAACCTCTAATATGTTATGTTCATTAAGATAAGCCATTAGCTGATTACAGACTAAATGCTCAAGAATTTTTGAAATAAAAGGCAATTCAGAGTTAGGTCGATAATTTGCCAGAACAGTAGGATCCAAAACTGGTTTCTTAAGTAGAGGCTGCAGAACTGCATGTTTCAGAGTTTTTGGAAGAACGCCTCAGGACAAGCAGCTACAAGAGCAAGGACAGAAGGACCTATAGTAGAGAAAACTTTTTTAAATAATTGGGGCGAAATAACATCATCTGTAGAACCAGTTGGCCTTAAGTGACTAACCGCCTCCTGCAATGATTGCAAGCTCACACATTCAAAGCTGTGGAAAACACCAGAACAAGGCACCACAACTGAAGGATCATAAGAAGAGGGATAATCTGGGCCCTAATAGAAGCAACTTTCTCATCAAAAAAGTGTCAGAAGTTTTCACATACAGCAGGTGGGGTCTCCATAAAGCCACTATGTGAATCATTTAAAACAGAGTTAAAAATTTTGAATAGGATAGCAGGATTATGACTATTTGATACAATCAAACCCGACAGGTATTTTCTTTGGCTGCCTTTTGCAATCCTTTGATAACGGCGCCAGCATTACTTTAGTATTTGGAGAGACACCTGTAATTTGTCCTTTCTCCATTTGCGTTCTGCTCTGCAGCAGTCTCTCCTGGCAGCCCGACTGACCTCATTTAACCAGGGTTCACGCTTGGATTTTGGAAGTCTAATTTTTAGTGGTGCCACCAAATCAAAGGCTGCTTTACTGGTAGAATAAAACCAGTTGCTGAGTTCCTCAGTGTTATTTCCCACCGCCTCTGGAATGGTACAGTTCTGAAGAAAACTAACCAGCAGTAGTAGTCCTTGCTCCTAGGTGGAGACCCGTTTAAAGTTTCACAGTTGTAATGGTACCATGTTGTGTCTCTGTCATTCAACTGCTGAGCCTGCCTGTCAGCATCTTGGCATGTTTGTCTGAGCTTGCTGCTGGACTCATGAACTCTGAACCAGCCTTCACCCTCTGTGGATTCTTGGAACTCTGGATCTGTCTGTTCCTGTGTGAATCGGAACCCCTGACCAGGCTGCGGACTCCTGGATTCCAGAACTGTCCTGTCTGATCTGTTTTTTCTGACCTGCATTGGATTTAGTTCCTGTTCACTGAGGTTGCTAACCTGACAACAGCCAGATGCATGTCTCACTCCGCCTAGCTCCGCTCACATACATCTGGGAACCCGCCATAGGAATTGCCTTTACTG